GTTTATATCTATTTGTAACATTGGCAGGACACAAATTGGTGTTGGGTCCATGGGGTTGAGCCCCCGGAAGTTCAGGGGTTTGGGGCAATAAATTATTGTCAGATGAGCATGATTCCATACCTAAGTTGTGACACTGGCGTGTCACGAATTGGCGTGGGGTCCAGGGGGCGGAGCCCCCGGAAGTCCATGGGTTTGGGGCAATAAATAAGTGTTAGATGAGCTTGCTTTTATACCTTATTTGGTGACAATGGTAGGTTGCGAATTGGCGTGGGGTCCAGGGTGCGGAGCTCCAAGAAGCCCAGGGCATTTGGGCAATAAATAACGGTCAGATGAGCATATGTTTATATCTATTTGTAACACTGGCAGGACACAAATTGGTGTTGGGTCCATGGGGCGGAGCCTCAAGAAGCTCAGGGGTTTTATACATTAAATTATTGTCATATGAGCATGATTTTTTACCTTAGTTGTGACACTTGCAGGTCACGAATTGGCGTGGGTCCAGGGTGCAGAGCCCCAAAAAGCCCAGGGTTTTAGGCAAAACATAACTGTCAGATGAGAATGATTGTATGCCTTAGTTGTGAATAGGCAGGTCACGAGTTGGCCTGGGGTCCAAAAAGCGGAGCCCCTAGAAGTTCAGGGGTTTTAGGCAATAAATTATTGTCAGATGAGCATGATTTCATACCTTATTTGGTGACAATGGTAGGTCGCGAATTGGCGTTGGGTCCAGGGTGCGGAGCCCCCAGAAGCCCAGGGGTTTTAGGCAATAAATAACGGTCAGATGAGCCTATGTTTATTTATTTGTGACACTGGCAGGACACAAATTGGTGTTGGGTCCAGGGGGCGGAGCCCCAATTAGGTCAGGGGTTTTATACATTAAATTATCGTCAGATGAGCATAGTGTATACCTTATTTGTGACACTGGTCGGTCACGAATTGGCGTGGGATCTAGGGGGAGGAGCCAATCGGAAGTTTGGGGCAATAAATAACTGTCAGATGAGCATGCTTTTATACTTAATTTGGTGACAACGGTAGGTCGTGAACTGGCGTGGGGTCCAGGGTGCGGAGCCCAAAGAAGCCCAGGGGTTTTGGGCAATAACTAACGGTCAGATGAGTATATGTTTATATCTATTTGTGACACTGTCAGGACACAAATTGGTGTTGGGTCCATGGGGCGGAGCCTCAAGAAGCTCAGGGGTTTTATACATTAAATTATTGTCATATGAGCATATTGTTTACCTTTTTTGTGACACTGGCGGGTCACGAAATGGCGTGGGGTCCAGGGTGCGGAGCCCCCGGAAGTTCAGGGGTTTCGGGCAATAAATTATTGTCAGATGAGCATGATTTTTTACCTTAGTTGTGACACTTGCAGGTCACGAATTGGCGTGGGGTCCAGGGTGCAGAGCCCCGAAAAGCCCAGGGGTTTTGGGCAAAACATAACTTTCAGATGAGCATGATTGTATGCCTTAGTTGTGAATAGCCAGGTCACGAATTGGCCTGGGGTCCAAAAAGCGGAGCCCCTAGAAGTTCTGGGGTTTGGGGCAATAAATAACTGTCAGATGAGCATGCTTTTATACCTTATTTGCTGACAATGGTAGGTCACGAATTGGCGTGGGGTCCAGGGTGCGGAGCCCAAAGAAGCCCAGGGGTTTTTGGCAATAATTACGGTCAGATGAGCATATGTTTATATCTATTTGTGACACTGGCAGGACACAAATTGGTGTTGGGTCCATGGGGCGGAGCCCCCTGAAGCTCAGGGGTTTGATACATTAAATTATCGTCAGATGAGCATATTTTATACCTTATTTGTGATACTGGTAGGTCACAAATTGGCTGGGGGTCAAGGGGCTGAGCCCCCCGAAGTTCAGGGGTTTTGGGCAATAAATTATTGTCAGATGAGCATGATTTTTTACCTTAGTTGTGACACTGGCAGGTCACGAATTGACTTAGGGTCCAGGGGCGGAGCCCCCGGAAGTTCAGGGGTTTTGGACAATAAATATTTGTCAGATGAGCATGGTTTTATACCTTATATTTGGTGATACTGGTAGGTCACGAATTGGCGTGGGGTCCAGGGGGCGGAGCCCCCGGAGGTTCAGGGGTTTTGGGCAATGAATTATTGACAGATGAGCATGCTTTTATACCTTATTTGGTGACAATGGTAGGTCGTGAATTGGCGTGGGGTCCAGGGTGCGGAGCCCCAAGAAGCCCATGGGTTTTGGGCAATAAATAACGGTCAGATGAGCATAATGTTAATATCTATTTGTGACACTGGCAGGACATAAATTGGTGTTGGGTCCAGGGGGCGGAGCTCCAAGAAGCTCAGGGGTTTGATACATTAAATTATCGTCAGATGAGCATATTGTATACCTTATTTGTGATACTGGTAGGTCACGAATTGGCGTGGGGTCAAGGGGCGGAGCCCCAAGAAGCCCAGGGGTTTTGGGCAATAAATAACCGTCAGATGAGCATATGTTTATATCTATTTGTGACACTGGCAGGACACAAAAAGGTGTTGGGTCCAGGGGGCGGAGCCCCAAGAAGCTCAGGGGTTTTGGGCATTAAATAACTGCCAGACGAGTATCCTTTTATACCCTAGTTGTGACACTGGCAGGTCACGAATTCGCGTGGGGTCCAGGGGGTGGAGCCCCCGGAAGCTCAGGGGTTTTTGGCAATAAATTACTGTCAGACAAGCATGCAGTGGCCCGCCTTAGGCCCCCTGGTGGGGTCGAGGGGGTGGAGCCCCGGAAACTTAGGGTTTTTAGGCATTTAATTACGGTTAGATGAACATATTTGATACCTTTTTTGTGACACTGGCAAGAACCTAATTGGCGTGAGATCCAGGGGGGCGAGACCCCAAAAGCTCAGGGGTTTTAATCATTAACTTATCGTCAGATTAGCATCCAGCTTTCCACTTTAGGGCCCTATGTGGGGTCTAGGGGGCAGAGCCACCGGAAGTCAAGGGTTTTTAGGCATTTATTTACGGTCAGATGAGCATTTGATACCTTTGATATCTTACCACTTTCATATCCTTCTTTTTTTTTTCCTTTTTTTTTTTCCTCCTTTTTTTTTTCTTCTTTTTTTTCCCCTTCTTTTTTCCCCTTTTTTTAACATTTTTTTTTTTTTTTTTGTTCTCCTTTATTTTTTTCCTTCTTTTTTTTCCAGGGGGGGGGGGGACGGTTCCCCCCCCCCCCCCCTGGTTCCGCCACTGGATCAAGATAATAGAATATTAGCTGAATCTTGCTGGAAAACACATACACTGCACACAGATATGAACGAATAGGACTTTATATACAATAAACATGTGGCATATGAAAGATTGGCCCAAACTTTGCAGTTATTTATTGTCATATTTCACATTCCAGCGCATTTTAATAGTTTCATCCTTTTCAGTAGATTTATTCTTCTGACCTCATCTATAATTATTCAAAGAGCCCAAACATTGTTTGTCATATGATTTATAAAGGAAAAGAAATGTACTGTATATGAAAGGAACATTAAAGTGAACTCTTAGTTCATATCTAAGCTCCAACTAAGATAGCATAATCCACTGATTTATAAATTTTCAACTTCTTTATCTCACTTGTAGCAAGTATCTTAATTCTGTAACTCCATGAATATGATGAAAGTTATAATGAAATAAATGTAATGTTTATTTTAAACATTTTATTTTTTATTTTTTATTTTTTATTTTGTGTGCGGATTGAAATAAATTGGAATGAATTGGTCATATAGAGGTCGTACTCAGTAAATATGAATCACTTGCCAGGCTCACAATGTGTTTATCATCTTTAACACTTTCATCATTCACCAATATATTTCATATTTTCTTGACATGAACTATTTTATATTGATTTGCATCAATAGTGAGGGATGGCATTTATGGAGAATTTATTTTTAGTGTGCATGTGTCCTAATCATGCAGTAATATCTGGAGAGCACTTCCTACAGACAGTATTTCGTTTTAAAGGTATAGACCAGTTTTGGAAACGCCCTCATCTCAAAAAATGAAATGGAAGCTCTTACTACCAATCATGTGAAAGAATATGGTTTGACTAATCCGTGATGAAACAAACTTTGCTGGGAAACTGCCTACTAATTGATATATTTGGTAAATTATTATATCTATCCGGACTGGATAGATATCGCGTAGTCCCATATACATCTTTCTGTGTACAGTGCTTGTAATTTTACCAAGACTGGGCCAAATTTCTTATCATTTTGACGATTCCAGAACCTTGCAGTACACACCAATACTTATATGCTAGATGATCAACCTTTCCTGATCAATTCCACAACGTTTCTTTCACAATGCAATTGCATGACCAGAACTGGTCTATACCTTTAAGCGCTATGTAACTCCAGATTTATTAAATATTGTTTGTTTGTTTGTTTATTTATTTTTATTTCTGCATTTTCAAAATGAAACATAATCATATACATAAAGTAACAAATATTTCTTCATTTTACATGATTATACATTTTTAAGTACATTGAATAAGATGCATACAAACACAAATATAATTTCAATGAAAAAAAAAAGAAGAGAAAGATTAATTTCAGAAAATGCAGGAGACCGCCATCATCATATTATGTGACAACACACCCTCTGCCTGCATAATTTTAGGGCAGGATTTAAAAAAATATCCTGACAGCTAAACAACTACCAGAGACTAGTTAATGAAATAAAGACAAAATACTTGTCCTATTTGAAAGACTTGGAAGATAGGAGGTACTAGATAAGGAGGGAAGACAAGAAGCAATTGGGAAAAAAACCATGACGTTATACAAAGAAGAAAAAAACAACATTTTGACGTACGTCGATAGAATTGGAATTGCAAAGGAGTGTGGATAAATGTTACAATTAATCTCCAAGAAGGGAGAAGATACCATGGTAGAGAGATAGATAGGTCAATGGATGGATGGATGAATAAAGAAATAGATACACAGACAATGAATGGATAGATAAATGTGATATTTGCCATTGAGCCATTCTCTTCCATAGCTGAATTCAGATCCGTTCATGTTCATAAAGAATGTATTGTTTACACATGTATTCATTGTCCAGGTTAAGCAGGAAAAGCTACCAAAATGATGGCACTAGCATTTATCATTTCAATATCCATCTGCACCGATCAAAAACATTAACTACCCAATAGACTGATGATGCAATACAGCTAGGTGCTGTACATTACATGTAGCAGTATTAATTACTCCATGTAATCCATCCACTTTCATTGTCCAATTCAGAACAGACGAGGATCAGAATTTGCAAACGATTTAAAGACATGATGGTTGACGCTTTCTATTCTTGAACTTCACCAAAAATTGGAGAGATTTTAAAAAGTTAATCATGCATTCGCCTTTAGTGCTGAATTCTGAAATTTGTGTTGCTTTAACATGGCAATGTCGGTTTCATTCATTGTCATCTACAAAAGAGATTACAAAAAAACATGATGGTGATTAACACTATTCATTCTTCAATTTCATCAGAATAGTAGCATTTGGTGTTAATCCATTCCCTTCCAGTGTCAATTTTGTCATTGTCAGTTACAAAATGGATGAAGACAAGCAAGATGTGTTTGGTGTTATCTCATCTTCAATTTCATCAGAACAGTAGCATTTGGTGTTAATCCATTCCCTTCCAGTGTCAATTTTGTCATTGTCAGTTACAAAATGGATGAAGACAAGCAAGATGTGTTTGGTGTTATCTCATCTTCAATTTCATCAGAACAGTAGCATTTGGTGTTAATCCATTCCCTTCCAGCGTCAATTTTGTCATTGTCAGTTACAAAATAGATGAAGACAAGCAAGATGAGTTTGGTGTTATCTCATCTTCAATCTCATCAGAACAGTAGCATTTGGTGTTAATCCATTCCCTTCCAGTGTCAATTTTGTCATTGTCAGTTACAAAATGGATGAAGACAAGCATGATGTGTTTGTACGTGTTATCTCATCTTCAATCTCATCAGAACAGTAGCATTTGGTGTTAATCCATTCCCTTCCAGTGTCAATTTTGTCATTGTCAGTTACAAAATGGATGAAGACAAGCAAGATGTGTTTGGTGTTATCTCATCTTTAATTTCATCAGAACAGTAGCATTTGGTGTTAATCCACTTGCTTCCAGAGTTGACTCCAGATCGGTGTATGTCCTATTAGGGAATGTCGTCACCAGAATGTAGTCAGGGGCATGTGGTTTCCTGTAACAACAACAAAATTATGGAGGGAATTTACAGTGCTGGTATAAACTTTTTTATCTAATCTTACTCCGTAATTCAGTAACCAATTGGGTCAAAGCACATACAAATGAACTACACATGCAATATGGCGCTAAAGTCTCATTCAGATATGAAGCAGCCCCCCTAAAAAAATAATTTTGTTATCTCCTAGCTGATGACATAAAGTTGATACACTTCACAATTCTGTATGTTATAGCACAGAGCTCAATGAATTTGTGTAGGACCTTTGTTGTATGCAGTTGCCATTAATTTACACACAAAATAATAATAGCAGGGTTTTTTGGAGGGGAGCTGTTTCTTGCGTCATATCTGAATGAGCCTTTACTCCCCCCCCCCCCCCCCCCCACCCCACCCTATCAAATGACAAAAAATGTGCAAATAATGAAAAATGTAATCCTAATCGGGTGGTTGGCTCCCTTAAACCCACGTTCTGTTACAGCAAGTTAAAATGAAATACACATGCATTGTGAAGCTTACTCTAACAATAGATAACACTCAAACTTTTAAATTACAAAAATCTCCTTCAAGGCCTGTCGACTGTACTAGTTTGGCCAGGGAGATTAGACCTCCCTGCAAGGTCACTGACAGGTGGTTATCTCATCAAATCAGCTCTCAATTAACATAAGAAAAAGGGGATCATGGGGGACCAACAGGCACCGATTAGTTATTTTTTACCCTATAGAGGGCACAAGTAGCTATCAGTAGTGCAGTGGGGCTTTAATACCTTCCTACCTCGAACCCAGTCTTTATTAGCTAAATCATATTCTACATCATACAAGGTCACAATCAAAACATGCTCAATCAAAATGTTATTAATTTGCATATTATGTAAATCTACCTCTGTTTATCAAGATGCATCCTCAGATCTCCTATGGTGTCGGTAAATCTCAACTTCAAGATGTAAGTATGGTCTCCGCTCTCCGATTTAACACGCAGGGTTGTGACATCACTCCGTGGCAATGACCTTGCAGAGACCGGGCGATTGGATTGACCGGTCTTACCAGAGAGGGCTCTCTCTTTGATATCCCGAACTATGGGGGTGTTGACTACCGTGACGGCGTTGGGTATCGTCTCCTCCTGATCATAAAAGGCCATACAACAAAATTGTAATCTAGGGGGTGTTTCACAAAGATCCAAAGTTGAAATTATCTCTATTAGTTGGACTTAAAAATCATGGAAAGCCATTAGCATCTTTAAAAATATTCTTTTAAAGTTATTTTAAATGGCTTAAAATGTTGATTCAAATCATTCATATTTTCTATCAAGGAAATGTCATGTTCTTAATGTAGAATTTATGAAAAGTCTAAAATACTTGAATTTTCGCTTTTGAATATATTTCATTTTAAGGCTACAAATGACTCTCGATAATATTTAAGTCCGGCTTAGAGTCAAGTTCAACTTACCTACAGATAGCTTATGGACAGCCTCATGCATCAACTAATGACACTAAAATGCAGGTACAGATGTGTATTACATATTCTGGAAAATGATTTCTATAGGCAATCATCATCATTTGAATTTGAATTTATTAACAACATATCACAATGTTACAAAATGCAATCAAGTGGGTAACAAAGTAACAACAATTAAACAGTTGATGTTGTATATCATGTCATATCAAACCTGTGAATTAGCCATAACTTAATAATACGTAGAGATCTGGTTGGATTCCTTAAAGATACATAAAAGTGTGGCTAGATTTGAAATTCACAGAGGATGTGATTCAAATAAAGGATATTTTAAACTTAAAAACTTAAAATGTTGTTAAAGGGAGAACCGGCCAAAAGATAGCATGAAAGCTAATTGTCATCCTCATTTTACTCCCCATGGTGATACTCCCTACCTCCACTTCTTCTTGTCTCGAGCATCCTACCCTACTGCTTTCTTTCTCCACCATATCTTTCCATGAAATGTTTGGTCTTCCCTTCCCATAAATAAGCTATTATTGAACAACTTTAAAATAAGCTTACCTTTAGCAAATCAGCCACTAATGACCTGACGTCAATGACCTTTCCACCTGATGACATGGTAGGGTGTAGCTTGCCGAGGAACTGATCTACTGACATGGGGTCCACTACAGAGATGACAGGGAAATTCAATTCAATTCAATATGGTTTATAAAAACATGCAAGTAGTAGTCCAAGTACTTTTTGTTTACAGTGTAAAAAGTGGTCATATAATATGTTCACTAATTTAAAAAAAAAATAATAATAATAATTTTGTTAAGTACAAAGTCATTACAAACAGGTGGTCTTTATAGAGAGTTGGCCACTGAGACAGGTTTGATTGTATTTGCACTATGAACTTCAGGCAAGTAAAGATATTTATAAATAAATATACAGTGAAACGTGAGGCCACCCAAGGGAAAAAGAGAAAGTGACCACTGTAGACAGGTGGCCACTAAGACAGGTTTGATGGTATTTGCAGCATTAATGGAATTATTTCTAAAAAATGATTCTTTAGATCATTATGAATGTAATAGTTTGGCTGCTAAGATATGAAAGAGCATTATCTATATGGAATTCATTCAGCACTTTTGCTGGCCCTTATCAGAAAATATATTGATCATGTTACACAACTTTGAAGAAATTAAAATTCATTGGAGGTACATATACAAATTTATCAGTTAAATACTCTGATCATACAGAACTCAAATTACTGTGAAATAATATTGATTATTACTAACCTGGGGGCTTGGTTGTTTCTCTTAACTTGAGTGGTCCATGCTCCTGACTGACAGGTGGTCCACTGCTTGCCATACTGGTGGCCTTATCCAGGTTAGAGGGTACCAGTCTTGATGGCCCATCATTGCACCCACCAACGGCTAGGCCAGTACCAGGGAAGAACTCCCGGTTACGTTGGTCTTTAAAAGCCACATCTCTCTGATCATCCACCTTGAAAATGAGGAAATAAGAGATTTAAGAATACAAAATATAACCATGCATTTAGTGTACCTTGAGGGCAATGCCCCTAAATGAAGTCCTATGGTTGTGTGATGTATGCTCCGATTTCAACATCCCACATTCACCAATTTTGTTTATCTTCAATCCTGAACCCAACACGACACCTGACCTAGTCCACTGCCTGAACTGCTTCCGTGTCCTTCGTCTGATCCGCTGAGAAAATAACTCATCCTCAAAGCTCAAAATGGAGACAGTCCTTTCATTCACTCATTCACCAGGTAATTTTTGGTGATCGTGCAATTAATAGTAAAGACATCTCGCTCTGTGTGGGATGCGTGAAAGGAAGGAGAACAAAGATGTTTGATGATGATGATGATGATGATGATGACGATGATGGTGGTGGTGGTGATGGCTACGATGATGAGGATGGTGATGATGATGATGATGATGATGATGTTGGTGATGAGGAAGGGGATGATATTGGTGATGATGATGATGATGATGATGGTGATGGTGTTGATGATGATGATGATGATGATGGTGATGAGGAAGGGGATGTTATTGGTGATGATGATGATGGTGGTGATGATGATGATGATGACGATGATGATGATGATGATGATGATGATGATGATGATGGTGGTGATGAGGAAGGGGATGGTATTGGTGATGATGATAGTGATGATGATGATGATGATGGTGGTGATGATGATGATGATGATGGTGGTGATGATGATGATGATGATGATGGTGATGAGGAAGGGGATGATATTGGTGATGATGATAGTGATGATGATGATGATGATGATGATGATGATGATGACGATGATGATGGTGATGGTGTTGATGATGATGTTGATGACGATGTTGATGAGGATGGCGATGATGATAATGAGGATGATGACAATGGTAATGATGATGATGATGATGATTATGAAGTTAAACATCCTTTTACATATTGGTATGCTCCCCAAGGTTATACAGATATTGAGAAAATACATGATGCATGTTCTATTTACCCAGGGTAGCTATATAATTATTATTGCTTTTTTGCAGGCCCTGCACTCATATTGACCCAGCTTTGCTATACGTACCCTTTTAAAACACCTGGGTCAAGAGAGACAAATGTGGGCAAAACATCTTGTCCAAGGATGTAAGCACCATGTATGCAAGGATCAAACCAGGGACCTCTCATACGAGAGTCATGCAAGAGCCTTTTACCAATATATACCACAGTGCTCCAAGTCACTGCAGACACAGATATACAAAGCTTCACTTTGGAACGATACAAAAGAGAAAGGGCTCACCTTGATTGGGACACCATCAGGATATCTAGACTGCAGCTCGGTTGGGAAATAACCTTCTGTAAGATCTTGCATGCATTGCTATGACCAGAAAAAAGAGATAGGCATAATAATCATCAGGTGATCAAAATTGAAAAAAATACCTCTTTCAAGTCAAGGCCCTTGTCGATAGCTTTATTACACAAGTTGGCCAGAAAAAGATTACAACTTCTATTACTGTCACTTGTCTCTGGACTTTTGTTGATTTAAAAAAAAAAAAAAAAAATATGTTGATATTTGGATAGTTCAAATGCACCACAATTAAAAAAAAAAAAACACCAAAATATACAAGTAAAGTTTTATATATTCAAGATCGCCCTTCTTGTAATAATTCATCATCGCTCATCATTTAGTATCTGGAAGCTTTGGAATAGAATGGTATTATGACAGATTATTGTGGTTGATAACAATTAAGGCTTAATGGACGGAATAATGGCATGGTTTCAAACCCAGAGCTTCCCCTGCACTGCTCTATACCACTGAGTCATCATGCTTCCTTTAAAATAGATATTGTTACCTGTGTTTCTGGTTCGTCGTACGAACGGAATGGTCCGTTGAACATGAAGAACCCGTTTGCGTACAGGGTGAGGGGAATGCTATCGACCGTCTTGAAACGTGCTCCACTCACAGTGTGCTGAATCTTCTTCTCTCCTTCTCTAGCAACGATGTTCAGTTCCTGGATGTTCTTCAGCACCAGGTCAAAGTTTGGAATGCAGTTCTCCGATGAGACGAGCGATGACCCTGAGGAGAGAGAGAGAGGCGTAAGAAGGGAGGGACTCTCCAAACAACAAGCATTATTTCAAATGCTATAGGTATACTATCGTAAGACAGTGACTTCAGAGGACACAACTTTACAATTTTTATATCAACCTTTTCATCACCATCTTCTACATCAATATAATTACATGCATCATAATTATCAATGGTATTCATAAATATTGTTTTGATCTTGCATACACATATTTACTATCATTATCACTATGAATATAAACATCACTATCGTCACAATGACAATAATCAACATCACATTATTGCCATCATCAACATCACCATCATATAATCATCATCACCATCGTCGTCATAATTGATATGAGAAAAAAAACATCATCACTATTAGCATTATCCTCCTCATCATTGTCATCATCATCAACAACACCACATCATCATTGGTTTGTTGACAAACTAGGAGTTAGCTGAATTATTTTCCTTTTAGTTCAGAAGACACCGTAGCTTATTTTACATCTACCATAGCGCGTATGGAATTTATGCTAATGCTAATTCAGAGCAACGTGTCAGCAGATGCCATGTTTCTTTCGTTAGGAAAGGACGTTCAGGAGACGAAAGTCTTACTATGTTGTTTTAGTTAGCCAGGAAATGTCGCCACAGAAGTAAGTTTATCTTTAAAACATCATGTTTTTCATTTGTGGTGATTTAAGAATGTGTTTTGGTCAGGTTGTTGAGGTAAAATGTACAGACTACAGTGTATAAATTGCTATGCACAAAACTGTATAATGATAGGGTCTACGTTGTATGAGTTACATTGGAAGTCTTATTGCTTTTAGAAATGACAATTCATAACATACAGACGCGATGTTAAATATCGCTTCATTTATGTAGATATGTTTGATACCATGTATTCAGGTGGTTTAATACATGATTTAAGCTAGGGCTTCTTGTTGGCCATTTAGAGTGATAGTTTAAGTGAGAAAGTTGAGTTAGTAAATACATGAATGAACAAAACAGAGTAAGCTTATAAACTGGAAATGTTTGCTCTATAAATGGAAGTTTGTGAATTATGATGTAAACAAAGGACTAGGGGTTTAATCTTACATTTGATTAACGAGATGTTGTTTTGGTGATGTTAGATTAGTATTCGTATTTAGCTTGGAAGTTTCCTTAGTCTTAGTGAGTTTGTTATAATGAGGTTACACTACACATTTCAAAATGTTAAAGTAGTATTTTGATTGATTTCAGTTTCAGAACAGAGCATAGAAACCGCACTGTCAGAAACTTCTAGATGTGTTTATCTGTTGATTCAATGATAGTAATACTATTAGTATATGTTGAGCTTGAAGTGGATACAGTTAATTTGATGTAGGCATTTAGCTTTATTAACTTAATTGATGTTTGGATATATCAGTCTTCATTTATATGTGCAAAGATTGTACAAATATTTATGATCCTTTTAATTCCTTTTCTTCAGTGATCCAATCATCATCACCTCACCTTCACTATTGCCAACATGAATTGCAAAGTTATCATTCATAGATCACTTTCAAAATAAAATAAATTACAGTATCACTATCATGCAGTCCCATGTATTCATCTGCAGCGCGAGTGTGCATGTATCATGTTCAGTCTAACAGATACCATCAGTACAAGATGGCAGATTGACCCATTAAAGGAGTCTCTTCCATACCTGGCCTCCATACGCCTTGGCTCTTGATAAAAGAATCAGAATCTAACTCCTCATATAGCCCATCCACCTTGGAAGTTCTAGCTTCACCCTCCTCGTGTGTACCACCTACCCACACCATGCCATAATCTGATAAAAAGTCCTGTCAAAAGAGAATCAAACATGTTTAAGTGGCCAGCTCTCTGTCTTGAGGAAAACATTTTTGTTGGAAAAGCCACCTGTCTATCCAGTGTGAGTCAATAAAAAGTTTACACCTAGAAAATTGCTAATTTTTTTAAGAGTCATCTATGAACAGTAAATTATAAGCTCTTATGAAAAAGTGTTTTATCCCAAATCTTTTGGTATCATTTTTGTGTGGTATGTGTTCATGCACTCCTGGATAAACAGGAGGCATTGTTTGCGAGAGTGCAAAACTCGACTTGCGCCAAAGTTGCGTATGTGATGTTTGAATAAACAATTTGGATTTCGGTATTAGCTCGGTCTTTGTTGATCATGCCACACATATCAAATATCGAATATCAAATATATCAACGAACATTTGTGCGCGCGCGTGTGTGTGTGTGTGACTTTGCTTCTGCAAAAAGCATATGCAATGCATTTCATTTGATACATTCAATTCATTCTCTCACTCCACTAATCCCAACATAATACATGCTGTAGGCATCACTTTGGCGCAAGTCGAGTTTTGCACTCTCGCAAATGATTTGGGATAAAACACCCTTTCATAAGATTTATAATAATTTACTATTCATAGATATATTTTTTTAATAATTAGCAATTTTCTAGGTGTAAACTTTTTTTTGACTCACACAGTAGGGGTCACTTTTCTGTTTGAGTTGTGAGGCCTCTGTAGACAGGTTCACTATATCTAAAAGAAATACAGTGAATCCTGTATATAAAGACCACTCACAGGACACATGAAAAGTGGTCTTTACAGGCAGGTGGTCTTTTTACATAGAGATTCCTTGAGTACAATACTGAAGCAGGTTCGACTGCATGCTGCTCTATCTTTATTGACAGTGTAACCTGTCTAGAAAGACCATTCCAGGGAGGCAGACATTTTATACAGAAGGGTTTCTTCCCAGACAAGTTCTAAATGTAATTACCGGTATGTGTTCCTAGAAGGAGACAACATACATGTAGGAGACCCATTACAGAAAGAGAGGTTTCGACTTTATACATGCCTGTATTTCACTGTTTGAGGTCTTGATCTACAGTTTTTTTAAAGGCGTATCCAGATGCTATATACCGGCCTCCAGATTTTCATTCTAGTTACTTTGTAATTAGTATTTACAAAGAAGAAAACAGAATAATGTACGTTCTTATACCGTTAACTTAATAATTACACATAGCTATGGTATTCATCATACATAAATTAACCAAGCCAAATTCATAATTTGCTACAACAGAAAATTAATATTCTAAATATTACTCAAAAAACCTATTGCATTAATATCATTCTTGCTAATTATAAAACAAAATAAGAAAAAGAAAGAGATAAAATATGGATATAGTTCTTGTGTGTCTGCATGCATACAGACCACTGGTATTTGTCAAGGTATGTTTGCTATATACATGAGAAAGCTTACCTCCATATCTTGAATCTGTTCCTGTAAAGATTGACATTTTCTCTCTAATTCTTTGATTCTCCGAGACTCAATATCAGGCTCATCTGTATGATGAATTGTACAAATATATCAGAACATTTAGACAAAGTTTATCTCTCCTGGCCCAGTAAAATCAATCAACTCCAGCTCATGTGTAACATAAAATTGATAAGAAGTTGTACCTGATCATAAAAAACCCAGATACAATGGTGTAGAGAGATACAAGTGAATGCAACTCTTCATATGTTATCAATAACATATGCTAAATTTTCATATCAAATTTGTTTTTCAGCCAATCAAATGCCCCAATTTCAGTAGCTTGTAATAATTATTGTAACTTGTTTTGAAACAAGATTTATGAAACGGGGCCTGGAGAGTCAAATCATGTAGCAGTACAGACATTGTTCAAATCAGCTCAAATTACAGCAGGTAGAATATAGAAATTTGTAGATGACAACAGATTGTATTTTGGATTCATATGGAACAAATTTAAAAAACCTTAAAGCCCCTCTTAAATTGATGGGAACCCCAAAAATTTGATGGCAAAATTTTACTTAAATTGATCATAATGTGATATACAATGTCATTTAAAACATATTTCTGCAAGGATTTTCAAAACAAATGTGTTTGAAGTCAAATATTGATGAAAGAATACAAAATTTAGGTTTCTGCGTACAACAGAAACCCCAATTATGTATTCTTTTATTAATATTTTGCTCCAAGCACAATTTGTTTTGGGGAAATCTTTGCAGAAGCGTCCTCTTTCACATTATGATCCAATTTAACTGACAATTTGCCATCAAATTGTTTGGGGCTCCCAACACTTTAAAGGGGCTTTAAGCACGTATTAGGCAAATAATACAGGATCGAATTTGTATAATGAAGTAATGAAATATACACAGCTCTAGAAGAACAAAATCCTGCATGAAATTTGTTGTATACAGGAAAATGTTTTGCTCACCTTGGTATTTCTTCATCAAGCCAATCTTCTCCTCCAAAATATTAACCTTCTTATCCTAGAAAAAAAGAAAGACCAAAAAAGGAATATACTTCATGATATAGATTATAATCACACTTTAAAAGACGAAATATTACAAGGTGGTTGGATGTTTTTGATGCAGAAGTAATGAACTATTAATGCTAACAATTTTCAGTGTGACGAACTGGAATGTGTTGCCTAGATAGATGCAGTCAAAGAAATAGACATCTATCATATGTACCTGATCCTATTTGAATATTGCTCATAGTTTTACTACAGTATAGCGATATGGAACCCCTTACATTAAGAGCAAAACAAGTTTCGGTTATAGGTGCTTTTTAAAACCACTTGACGTAGACACCTCTACAGCCTGAATGTGGTTTGATTCATGCACTAGCTCACCTTCTCAATGATTTTCTTGGCATAGTATTTAACCTGAAGCTCTAGTTTGGATATTCGTCCCATCATGCTGGACATCAAATCAATATCTGTAGGAGCTACAAATAGGAAAACACAAAACAAATGCTAATACAAATTGCTGAAGAAATACAAATGAATAGCGCAGAACGAATACAGTCCTTCATACCACTATGGTCTAGGAATGGTGAAAATTCTTTATTTTCACCTCTCTTACTGGAGATATGCATTACATTAATGATATAACAGGGGATTAATTGAGATTTCTACAAAATGATGCCATTTGTGCCCAAACATGTCATTCAAATTATAAATTACCAAGGAGTAAACAAGAGAAAATATTCTACTCCTGTTCAGTGCATCTTGCATTCCTCCCAAAGTACATGTATACATGTATGTGTCCTTTTAAAATGAAAGACATATACATGTATGTACAGGTATGCTTTATATGATGCTTCTCTGCACAATTATAGTGCATGCAGCCAGCCTTTGAACTATCTTCTATTGGTGCACTTTAATTCTTTTTAATTCTTTCATTCTCACTTACCGGTATTTGCATAAAGCACACATTGGCAAGTTTGATGAGAACTATTAACAACAACAAATATATCTTCATGCTTACCATTTGTTTTATCCCTGGGGGATATCTTTGGTAGGTGGTTGACCTTTTGACCTGGCATTGACCCTAGGTCACCCCTGTTGCCTGTTGTGGAGAGTCTAGACGAGGTGCGACTCAGGACATCATCAAAATCATCCAATTCTGAAGGAGCTAAACCAAAATGAGTAAAATTCACAAGCTAGAATCAATTTTTGTTAAAAATATGTCTAGGTGTAACAGGGTTTAATTCTGCTAGAGACATATTCAAAATCATCCAACTGAAAGGCGCTACATGGAAAATGAAACTAGTAAAATTCACAAGATAAACTCAATATTGTGGTAAATAAGAATATCCCTACATTTAACATGATTTTTAATATTAAAGGACATCAACAATTTGATCCAACTCAGATAAAGCGATATAGGCCTACAACAAAATGAGTATAATTCATGAATTAGAATCAATATTCCAGTAATTTGATTTGCAATAGATTGTAAAAAAAATAATGTTTAAAAAAAAACTTTCTAAATATGTATTTGGCCTACAGTAATTAGTTCCTATCAATAGCCTGGCTTTAGGACATGTTCTCAAATCTCATCAAATGTACTCTACAGCTAGTGCATTAATTAAGGATCTTAAATCAGGCAATTGCTTGAAAATGTTATTAAAAAATAAATCTCATCCTCTTACATAAATTGTTGTCCCTAAATTATAAATAATTCACGAACAGCCTTGAACATTTGTACTACAGCATTTTCAAAAGCTTAATTATCCTTGTTTGTCTCAAAATTGCTTCATGCATATAGGGACTAGACTATTGTTAAAGCCATACTATACTAGAAGCACTACTGCAAAAATTACTCTAGCACCATCCCAGGTCAGCTGTAGCAGTATGGTCCTGTATGAAACTTGCTGCTAATATCTAGCTGCGCTGTTAGTTATCTTTAATTATTGAGTCCCCTTTCTGCGAAGTGGAATTTAGGTATTGGGTTCTGAGTGTTGGTAAGTTGACCATGAGATGGCGCTGTGCACTACGCTAGAAGGAAATTTCATTGGTTCAGTATACCGCTTTAAATAGAATAATTTACAGGTACAATGATTGTCTAACTTACACAGAAAGTCAGTTGGTTGACTCCTAAATGGTACAGCCCTTTGCCTGCAGGAAAATAGAATGCAAATGAGTATTAGTTCTTCTCTATCGGGAGCAAAGGTGACAAGTCGTAAAATGTTGATACTGTTTCTGTGAAATAGGATACTTAATGTACATTAGACGGGAGGCAAAATTAGATAATATCAAATTACCAACATTTTGGAGTCTTCTCAATTTTTCTTTTTTGTTGGGGGGGGGGGGTTTCACTCATTTGCTTTAAATACCTCAAGTTGAATCAGGTTTTATTGTTTTGGACCCCTTTGAAAAAGACAGCTTATACCTGACAAGGGCAATCCATCCCATGAGTGGAGAATAAATAAATAAAATAAAATAAAATAAATTTTGCATTCCTCAAATTAATCCAGATATTTTGAACACCTGATATGTCATAGCTATTTTAAGTGAAATTCTTCAAGTAGAAATATACACAATAACCTTACAAATAATGTTCAAGGGGAACCATTTCATCATGTCTGTGTGAGTACACACTCTGATTTGTAAATGTACGAGTGTACAGTATACGCTATCATTAATAAATGCCTCAAAAGAGGAAACGGAATAAAGCCATTTTTCAACTTCAACCCGGCCTGGACAAACTACCTAACCATATCACTAAACCTTACATTGTAGCTGAAAATCTCATTTCAACCCAAACCCTAAACATCTATATCATTGATGAAATTAAGCCTGGAGAAACTGTTGGATTACCATGATCTGGCCTATAACTGATAAGGCTCATGTTCTAGATTCCCAATGCTGAGCTAACCCGGTAGTTCAAAATCAGTTTTAAAGGCCCACTGCACTACTGGTAGCTACTTGCACCCTCTATATAACAAACAATGCCTAATCGGTGACCATTGGTCCCCCATGATCCTCTTTTTCTTATGTTAACTGAGAGCTGAGTTGATGAGATAACCACCTGTCCAGTGACCTTGTAGGGTGGTCTAATCCCTCCTGTAAACTATGGCAGATTAACAAAGGAAGTTCAATAGTCTGAGGTCTTATTCTCCATTTATAATTATACATGATTTTAGACTGATTTTGGAGTTGAACTGAATTAGTAGAGAGCAGACCTACATACATGTAGCTAGGAGAACTCACCCTGGAATTTTTTTCACACCAGGCAAGGGTGTCTTCTTGTTTTTTCTGAGACTTGACGATGGATCACTCATTGTTTCCTGGCTACCTCTTGACTTTAGCTAGAAAATTACCTTTTAATAACAGAGATCTAGAAAGGGAAAGGGAAAGAGAGAGATGGAGAGAAAGAGTACAGGAAATATGAGAGATCAGAGTCAGAGAGAAAAACATACAAAGACAGAAATAGATAAAAAAGAGAAAAAAACAAAGACAGAGAAACAAAAAGAGTGAAATAGAGAGAGAGAGAGAATGAGAGACAAAATAAACCAAATAGTTAAAAAGGTAATGGGATATGGAGAGAAATGGAAGACAGTATAACAATGATAAACCAAGATAAATAATTCATTGAAAAGGAGGGAATTAAACAAGCATCCCTTACAATTTTGTCAATTGTACATAGGCGACTGTGATACGGTGCATATAGGACTGAGTTTTTTGTTTTGAAAGATAAAAAGCTAAAATAATCTGATTCGCTAAACGATACCAAAAAAAAGGCAAGACAGAGGAAAATCAGCAGCAGTTTCTTCAGTTTTTGACATGATTTTGAGCTGTGAATGTATTATAACCAATGGGCACAGGCTTAAAAAACCGTTCTTTTTTCAAAGATATTGGTGTAACTTTGCAATGCTGCAAAATACAAGGCTGGCGCAAACGGTATTCTTGTCTATATTTTTTTCTTGTATTTTCCAGAATATGAGAAAATAATTTTAAGTATTCGCGTCAGAAAAGGCCTCGAAAGAAAGATTTTCAAGTGAATTTTGACACCAACCCTTCCATAGCAATGCACGTGCTTGCGCAATTCGAAGCAGGAAACATAATCGATAACCCATGTTTGAGACTCTGTATCCCTGCAACAGATTACCCTATGCTAAAGCTCGTTCACTTCCCAGTGCGGAATTTATCCCTCTCTCTCTGTCACATATCAAAATCAAGCTGATTGGTCTAGAAAATTCGTCAGAAACTTTGAACAAGTAAGAAGATTAATCTTTTCCATGCAATCACATTTGGCGACACTCCAAGCTCATTAGCATAGAGAGTAATGACGTCATATCACGCCATGACTCGCCTTTGCGTGGCTGGGTTGTCAGTTGACGTTCATTTTATTTATTCATGAGACGTACCTGTGCGTGCTGAGCAAAGAAAGACACGCGCAGATCTACTTTAGTGGAATTTCGGCCAGAAATTTGTCCAAATGGTGCGTGTGACGTTTGTGCCCATACTGCCAACAAGCGCACAACGCACTGACTCCGTGCGTCTTTTAAATTCGTTGCCCACGGTCACTTGCTCTACGGAAGGCGCACTTAGCACGTGCGTGCTGCGCATGTGATAAGTGCGTGGTCCGTGCTAACTCGCCACTTCCCCAGTTCAACTGTCCAATGAGCACGCAGAACTCACATGGACCGTACCGAGTAAGCACGTTGCGCGGACTGATTTATGAAGTACATAGTCTATGCGGTGGAATGGGTAGCATCTTAATAATAATAATAATATTGGATTCTTATATAGTGCATGTATCGACCTTGCAAGGTCCTCAAGGCGCTCCAACATTACCCGGCTATGCTAGGCTGCCGATTTCGACGCTCACAGGCAGCAGCAGCTGGGACTTCTGGAGAACATCGGAATGTCGTCCTATATATTCCCCGATATCGGGCGGAAAAACTCACCGAGTTCATCGCACGTGCAAGCACTTACAACGTGCGAGTGAGTAAGGACACTGTACGTGAGCAGCACGTGTAAGTATGTACGTTGTAAGCACGTACACGGAACTTACCACATGCGCAACGTACAATGCACGCAACCGCTCACAGCCAGGTGTGGCGTGCGGGCCACGTACCCCGGTACCCCCTCCCTGCCTTTTGCCACTCCCTCCCTACGTTTTCAGAAAAACATGGCGGGTGTGGCCTCCCCAAAAACTGTACGGACTAAAACATGCAAGGTGGGTTGTGACCAATGCTTTACTAACAGGAAAAAAGGGTAATTTAACCTTTCTGTACTATTTAATACGACTCTTAACTAACCTGAGCTGTAAACAATAATAAGCTTACGATGTGCCACCACGACGTTGCCAATCTCTGGAAACATCTTGTTTCTGTTTGTTTGATTTTCATTTAATTTGGACAATTCCCGTGTTTATTGCACTAAAATAACTACATATAGATCTAGGGGCCGTTTCTCGAAACCGTCATAACTACAAGATCAACGACATCTCGCCACTGTCACGCAACTTGTCAGCTAAGTGTTTCACGAAGCCGTCTTTGCCAAGATGAGCGACAACTTCCGCGACAAGCGAGTTGTCACTGCTCCGAACCTGTCATATCTTTTTAATTGCTGTAAAGCGCCATCACAAGTCAGTTTGTTGCCATTCCATGGGCCGCGAAATGGACGATTAGTTTCACTATCATTTTGAGAAAAATATAGACGAGTTCGGTACGTAATTCTCTGGGATGCGAAATGCAAATGTACAAAAGTGAGAATACAATTATACAGAAACTTTAAAAAGCTGAATATAAACATTAAATCACAAATCATTAAACTATAACATATAAATAAGAGAGGTAAGAATGTTACACACCGTTTTCCATAGTCGATCTATAGTCTTTTCTTAGGATACCGTCATACCTTTGGGGCCTATGTGCATTATTATTCCCTCTCTAATTACTTCTTCCAAATTATATTTTCAATACCAAATCAATTATATAACGAGTATTTATGAGACTCTAGAATAAAAACTGGCTGAGAAAAGACATTTTGCCTAAAATTCCTCGTCACAATAAACAAAAAAGTACGTATTGATAAACTATCATATTACGGTATCCTTCAACTAACTTTTGATTCGACCGTCAAAAAAAAAACACTCACCGGTTTTTCTTCAATTTAAGAATCTTTACAGAAATATGCAAATCGTTTGATGATGTAAATATGATAATGACACTATTTATCATTTATTTCAGGAGAATTTATATGTAAATATTTCTTTTTGAACAATTTTAGCCCCAAAACTTGTTTTGGGTTATTCTTGATAAATCAAATGGATCCTGACAAAGACTATGTTCTTGAGCTGCTAGTATCGCGATATATCGATATCATGTCTGTCATGGCTTTGTGAAACGGTTTATCCGCTTCATGACATCTCCGTAGGTCGCCGACAAAGATATGACTGTCATGGAGTTGGTTTCGAGAAACGCCCCCTGGAGTCTAGACATAGACTAGATCTAGATCTAGACCTAAATTTACCTTCAGTGTGAATGTACCCAGCGCAGGAAACATTTTGTTTCTGTTTGTTTGATTTTCACTTAATTTGGACAATTCCCGTGTTTAATGCACCAAAATTGACACTACATATAAATTTACCTTCAGTGTGAATGTACCCAGCCCAGGAATTGTATGAAATTATGATTGATATAGATCTAGACCTAGACTAGTCTATTTTGGAAAAAAAAGGCCACATCTCGGCCTTAGTTTAGAAAGCCCTTAATTCCATCCGCTTCAGGGGGCTCTGCCCCCTACACCCCGCCCGCTGTCGGCTCGCAAAAGCAAACATACAGGTTGGCACTTCAACTAAAAATCCTTTTTGTTTTGGCACTTCTAATAAACTAGTTGAGAATGAGGTCGACTCTGAGTTTGTTTATGTGTACAGACCACAAAATTTACGGCGTATGGGACTGTAAGTAAAATACAATTGTCTAGACCTACGACGTTGTCGTTGTAAATCTAATAGGCCTACATCACGAAGCAAAATTGGTCCTCTTTATTCTTAACAAACACCCATTAGATTTCCACCTTCAACTAATTCAAATATAAACTTATCTTAACTTACATATGGTCTAGGTCTACAGCCAAATGTATGCTAGAAATCTAACTGGGTATTTTGGCGGCGTCCGCTTCCAAGCAACACAGGCTAGTCTTGAAACAAGTCGCAGGTAATATTGTTTTTCGTGTGTGTACGTGCAGTTTGGCCAACAAGGTTTTGATCCTTCGTTTGATGTTGTTGTTGTTGTTGTTGTTGTTTTAGTTTTAAGGGCGTGTGTTGACTTGTATTTGGCGTAGTCTCTTAAAATGCAACGCATGATGACGGACTTAATGTAAGTGCATGCAAACGTGCAGATACGAGTCAAATGCATGGTGCATCTCGGATTCGCTAGGTGCACGCGCGCGCCCTGGCAAAAAAGGGGGGCCTGACCGTAAACGCAACATTTGCTGTGTTTTGGAAAAGAAATAAAAACTGAAAGTAGCAAGGGAAAAATAAAGACATTGTTTAATTTCGGCCCTAAAATGTGATGTAGGCCTAGGCTTAAATAATTAAGTGTATACGTAGGCCTACTATGTATAAGTAATGATAATTAATCATTAATGAGTTATAACTATAACGTCTGGACAGGGGCGTCGCTAGACCTTTTTCAGTGGGGGGGGGGGTGTAGAGGCTAACGATTACCGACAAAACTAGCCATCAATTACCGACAAAATTAAATGTCCCAATATCTACAAATTTAACCCTATAAACCCGGGCCCGAAGGCTAAATTGTTTTTCCTATGGACTATCTATAGTATACTTGCGTATGCGCAACTTTTCCTCGACGACATAAAAGGGGAAAGTGGGGCATAACGGACCCGAGGGGCAAAATGGAACTTTGAAATTAGCATATGTTAAAAAAGGTCGCCCTCTGTGCAAATTCTTTGAAGAAGAGAAGATGCCAAAATAATTTCAGCACTGAATTTTCATCCGGTTACATCGAGGCACATCGGAGTAAGATCCCATCCAAAAAATTACAGCCTCATGATCTAAAGTAAGGGGATGTCTGAAATTTGGTAATTTTGGTATCGATTCTAATCAAATATTTGTATATATTAATCATAAAGATATCAACGTTAGACTCGCCTGTTTGCATGCCAACTTTGCTTCAGGGATTTTCTACGCAAACTTTTATTAAAAAATATGTCATTGGGGCAAAATGGACCATATAGGTACGGGACAAAATGGAACAGGGTTCCGTTTTGCCCCAATTGAAAATAACATATCTTGTGAAAGCTTGACTTAAGCAAATGCCAAGGGTTTACGGCTTCAAATAAAAATGTAAAAAAGTAAACCACTCCAATGTTATGGTGTCCCTATTGGTCCTAAAGACTGAATGGTTGAGTGAATGTGCGTGTGCACTTGTGTGTATGCATATATGTATTTTTATCATTATATTTGGATTTTCTTGGGGTTTTTTATAAGTTAAACATTCTCCACTCTTTATTTCCAAATATCATTCATTGTTGAGCCAGTAGGTGCTTTAATTATGGCGACATTATAGCACAGAGACAACAAATGCATAAAGGGAATAAAAATCAACATTAATAATTTTGTTTTGTCTTGTAAAATAATTCACAAAAATAAACAAAATACTGTTTTCGCCCTTTTTATAGGGGCCTGTTTACCAATGTTTCATGTTGGTTCATAAAGCAAATCGATAGTTGTTCTGGTTTCCCAGCCAGTTTTAGATACTTTATAAGTTAGCTGAATTCAAAGTATGTGCCTAGCAGTTGGTTTACCTGACTAGTGGTTGTATCAGGACGAAAATGTGACCCAGATTCCAGTCTAAGAAATTGAGAGTGTAGTGCACATTTTACAAGTCTACATTTTCTACTTTTAAACCAGGCTTTATTACGATTACCTTTCCAGTTTTGCCCCATGAATGTTTGAAACTACTATAGGCTTTCATTATGCAGCTCTAGCTGCCCACCAAGTTTGCTTAAAGTTACTTTAGGTACATTACTCAATATAGAACGTTAGAGTTCTGATGGGGGCAATACGGATCCGTAGATCCATTTTGCCCCAGGGGGGAGTGCCATTATGCCTCAGGGATGGGGCATGTTGGATTTTTCTTTTGTGAAATTCGTTTCGAGTTTCTCTGCAATTTTACCGTGGTTTTTGTCGGTTTTTCGTTGACATAATAAAGTGCATACACATCTATCTGAAACTGTTATTTTTACTGTTTTTGTGTCGTTGATGACGTCATATTGCAAGTTTGAAATTAAGTGTTCCATTATGCCCCACTTTCCCCAATATACGAATTATTTTGTCAGCTTAGTCGGCATCATAATGCATGCGGGCGCGGAGCTAGGATCTTATTTGAGGGAGGGGCGGTAGTGAGCAAGCGAAGCGCGCTCCGGCATTAGGGGTTGTGGGTGATAGGCCTCCCGCGCGAAGCGCGGAAGCTTAGACGTTTCCTTAAATAACTAGAAAAGAAGACAATTTATTGTACCGTTCTCGACTGCTAATCCATGTCTGAATTCAGTTCCCCCCCCCCCTCGCGCGAAGCGCGGAAGCTTGACGTTTCCTTGAATTATTAGAGAAAGCAGACGATTCGTTGTACCGTTCGCGGCTCTTAACCCTAATTTGTCTGAATTCAGTTCCCCCCCCCCCCTCGCGCGAAGCGCGGAAGCTTTCACGTTTCCTTAAATTATTAGATAAAGCAGACGATTCGTTGTACCGTTCGCGGCTCTTAACCCTATTTGTCTGCATTCAGTTCCCCCCCCCCCCCCCTCGCGCGAAGCGCGGAAGCTTTGACGTTTCCTTAAATTATTAGAGAAAGCAGACGATTCGTTGTACCGTTTTCGACTCTTAATAAGTCCTATTTGTCTGAATTCAGTCCCCCCCCCCCCCCCGCGCGAAGCGCGGAAGATTTGACGTTTCCTTAAATTATTAGAGAAAGAAGACGAATCGTTGTATTGTTCTAGACTCGTCTAAATTTAGTTTATCCCTTCCGCGCGAAGCGCCGAATCTTTGACGTTTCCTTAAATTATTAGAGAAAGAAGACGATTCTGTGTATTGTTCTCGACTCGTCTAAATTTAGTTTATCCCTTCCGCGCGAAGCGCCGAATCTTTGACGTTTCCTTAAATTATTAGAGAAAGAAGACGATTCGTTGTATTGTTCTCGACTCGTCTAAATTTAGTTTATCCCTTCCGCGCGAAGCGCCGAATCTTTGACGTTTCCTTAAATTATTAGAGAAAGAAGACGATTCTGTGTATTGTTCTCGACTCGTCTAAATTTAGTTTATCCCTTCCGCGCGAAGCGCCGAATCTTTGACGTTTCCTTAAATTATTAGAGAAAGAAGACGATTCGTTGTATTGTTCTCGACTTGTCTAAATTTAGTTTATCCCTTCCCCGCGAAGCGCCGAATCTTTGACGTTTCCTTAAATTATTAGAGAAAGAAGACGATTCGTTGTATTGTTCTCGACTTGTCTAAATTTAGTTTATCCCTTCCCCGCGAAGCGCCGAATCTTTGACGTTTCCTTAAATTATTAGAGAAAGCAGACGATTCGTTGTACCGTTTTCGACTCTTAATAAGTCCTATTTGTCTGAATTCAGTCCCCCCCCCCCCCCCCCCCTCGCGCGAAGCGCGGAAGATTTGACGTTTCCTTAAATTATTAGAGAAAGAAGACGAATCGTTGTATTGTTCTAGACTCGTCTAAATTTAGTTTATCCCTTCCGCGCGAAGCGCCGAATCTTTGACGTTTCCTTAAATTATTAGAGAAAGAAGACGATTCTGTGTATTGTTCTCGACTCGTCTAAATTTAGTTTATCCCTTCCGCGCGAAGCGCCGAATCTTTGACGTTTCCTTAAATTATTAGAGAAAGAAGACGATTCGTTGTATTGTTCTCGACTCGTCTAAATTTAGTTTATCCCTTCCGCGCGAAGCGCCGAATCTTTGACGTTTCCTTAAATTATTAGAGAAAGAAGACGATTCTGTGTATTGTTCTCGACTCGTCTAAATTTAGTTTATCCCTTCCGCGCGAAGCGCCGAATCTTTGACGTTTCCTTAAATTATTAGAGAAAGAAGACGATTCGTTGTATTGTTCTCGACTTGTCTAAATTTAGTTTATCCCTTCCCCGCGAAGCGCCGAATCTTTGACGTTTCCTTAAATTATTAGAGAAAGAAGACGATTCTGTGTATTGTTCTCGACTCGTCTAAATTCAGTTTATCCCTTCCGCGCGAAGCGCCGAATCTTTGACGTTTCCTTAAATTATTAGAGAAAGAAGACGATTCGTTGTATTGTTCTCGACTCGTCTCAATTTAGTTTTCCCCTTCCGCGCGGAGCGCGTAATTTTTCGCGTTTCATCACAATAGAGAAAGGAAGACGATTCGTCGTACCGTTGTTGACTCTTAAACCTTGTTGGAATTTCGTTTCCCGAAAATTTTAAACCTCTGATTTCTTTAGCTGATATTATAGGAAAGTGAAACTTCGAGAAAATACAAGTATTGTAGTTGTAGTCACTCTCGAAGTCGTCACAGCGGATAAAAATTCATAGTTCGTAGGGAAAAAAAACTCGTCGGCCGACCGACAATACATTTCACCGACCTAAACTTCTGCATTGATATAGTACACGAGGATCAAGCATGAATACCGACACAGCTGACCCGACATAGCAACATATTTACCCGTGTCTTTCTTGTTCCCTCGGGGAGACGGCTCCACCCAACAACCCCCTCTCTCTCCTCTCGCTCATCCCCGTTTCTTTTGTTTCCCTTTTACTCTATTTTTTCCCTTTTCTTTCTTTTCTTTCTTTTCCTTTCTTTACAAAAAGTACAATTGAGTAATCAAGACATTTTCTCTCATTTTATCTCTTCCATAAATTACAAAACTGTCCATACACAGTAGAAATGAATATATACAAAGCCATGAAAGATAGTTGTCTTATATTGAACATTTACTTTATTTCTCATACGTAAAAAGCAATCGGTATCATGTAAACAAATTTACAGATCATACTACTAAGGACAGCACTTCATACGAGATAACAAACTTCCAATTCATTTTCGGAAATGGAGATTTGAATTATGAATATTGTTGATTTCTGGGACTACCCATCTTCCATCAT